ATATAAGAAAGAAAAGGAGCATGTCATCCATTCATTCCTTTACTAAGGTGTACTTTTAATACCCAAAACTGGAGGATCTGACCTCCTTAACTCATCGACAAATCCAACCTCAAAAAAAAATAAAAAAAATAAAAAAAATAAAAGGAAGAAGAAGACAGAGCATACACTCTATAATGTGCTTGAGAAAGATAACATCCGAAGATTAAATACAAAGGATTCAATTTCATCCAAAATTTGGACCATCAGATCTCAGCATTTTGCAACTCATAAATCATTGTCATGAAATATTTATCTGGAGATTCCAAGTGGATGCCAAGATTTCATAATTAAAAACTACCACTTAGTAGCTATTTAGGCCAATAGATTAAGTGCGTATTATGCTCCTATTGGACTATGCTCTACATGCACATGAGCTAATTTGAACAACATCAGCACGCGCCTCCAAAACTCTTAAATAAAATTGTCTAGAGGGATTTGTTTGAAATTCAATTGTTTTTTATAGACAATCTTGAACTTGATGAACAATCTGAAGAAAAAAACGAAAAAGGAAAGAAAATTTATAGAAGAGATAAAATTTAGTAAATACCTGCTATCTATTTTAGATCTAGGCCTTTAAGAATTCAAAATCTTTTTTTTTTTCCCCCAAATTTTTTTTCTGGTGATGATGAGTACACCTACACAACTTCAGGTCAAGCAAATATGCCTAAGACCTCGACCTAACATCAATTTTTCTTTTCTTAAATCAATGGCATTTGTCACTGCAGTTTCTCTCTTCTTAAAAAGGGTATTTTCTCGGGGTTGATTCATATTTTTTTTGTCAAAATGTTCACCTACATGACAAGTCATCACAAAATGTGGGTTCAAAAAGTCTCCCTAGGTTTATTAAGAGTTTGTGGGTTATGAGTTTATGATGTACGAAGTTGCTCATGTGTAAGGGAGTTAGTTGTCTTTGCATGTCTTAGATCTTAGGTCACTGAATCTGGCAGTTGGACGTATTGGTGGTAACGGGTCGGGTCCGAGTTTTGGATATATGTATGTATTATTTAAATATTATAATTAAAAATATATAGTTGTATTTATTTAAATATTATTAAAATAATATATTTTTGAAATACTTTTAATATTATTTAACTAATATACTATTTGGGTCGGGTCCAAGTTTGAGACCCAGACCCGAGCCGTCAGGTTCGATATTTGAACCCATACCTAGACTAGGGTCAGGTCCAGTAGTCGGGTCCTCGGTTTGGGTCCATTGCCACTCCTACTTGGACATGCATCAAATTCACGCATACGAGCCTCTGGCATCTTTGAAGATGATTTGTATTTTGAATGGTTCCTATTTATCTTCTCATTGTAGCCCTAATTTGTAAGTTTAATTTATTTTCTTCTAAACAAAAAAAAAATCGTGTTGAGGTTTGGGACATATACCTAATTAATAAATTGAAGGACAAAAATCTCTTGTTTTTCTATATTAAGAAACTATAAGGCCGAATTCACAGATAAATTAAAAGGAAAAGTATACTATTAATCTTGACCATGAGATGAGAAATTAGGTGGCTGCATTTAGTCCATTGACCAAGCTCAAATTTCAAAATAAATTTTTTCGAACTTTGTGATGCCTCCAAACTAATAGATTTCACATGGGATAGTTATAAATAATTGTGACTTCTTTATACTAAAGTTAAAAGGCCTCATTGTTTCTTAGCTAGGAGATAAATTTAAGGCGTAATTAATATCCAAATTTACGAAGTATGGTCATAATGTTGGAGGAAATTGTGGTTTGTAAGTTTGTTCGGTACATAAATAAAGTAGCCAGCATCATGTTACCCCCTAACATTTTTTAACAAAAAGTTTTTAAGTATATGATTATAATCCCACATTTGCCAAGAAAAAACAAATGAATCGAGGAAAGTGAATTAATGGGAGCCATTAATTGTCACAAGGACAACCAACAACCGTGGTGGAAGAACCAAAGCAAATTGTTCATGCATCTGAACTTTTTGTGTGGACCTAATTTTATGATAGTTAGGTAACCTAACCAAACCTGGCTTACGTATATGCTCTCAAGCCAAATTGATACCAAACCGTTTTCCATTGCTTACTTTGTTACATCTTAGGTTTAGAAGTCATGTCTGTAGTATGCGGTGACTCGGATATTGAGTCGAACACCTCTTCTGGACCCCCTAGGCCAAGCCGACTCGTAGGGACCTATGGCACCTCCATCCCTTCATCTGTTGCGATATTGTAGGGTGGCAATGAGTTGGGTTGCCCAACCCAGCTTAGTTGATTCCCCCGGAGCAGCTCTGGCTCGAGCATTTATGAAAACAAAATAAAGTCTCACCTGAAATCCTCGTCTAAAAAACATTATCGGCAAATCTCCATGATATCTTTAAAATCAATTTCTAACATCGACAATGAAATTTGAAACTGAAAAAAGGTACAGATCTTGTGAATCTTTGAATACTTATTTTTAAAGCAAAATAGACGGTCTAGATAATTTATTGCAATAAACATATTTTTAGAACTTGAAATCTTATTTTTTTCACAAGCCAAGATGATAGATGTAAAGGTTTTTTAATGCTTGGATTGCAATTTTCAATGAGTTATAAAGTAAAGCTTCACTTATTTTCTGATAGGGTTCCAGCCCTATTAAACTATTTTTTTTTTCCAAATAAAGGTAATTCAAAGGGATATTAGAGATAATTTCTTTAAAAAAAAAAAACACACTCTAAGCTACCACATGATTCGTCGCATATTTGCTTTTCATTTTCTTGGGCCAATAATAGAGATGAACCGAAATTTCTCTTTTAAATTTTGAAAATATATACAACAAGACCATTTATTTTTAGAAAAAGTATAGAATATGACCAATTACCTTTAGGTGCCGTTTGTATAGAGTTGAGGCTCTAAACAATCAAATTACAGCCCACCTTCAAATAGTATCGAAAAATATGGTTTCAATATTGGAAATCTTTGGGATAGCTTTAAAATATGTTTTTATTTTTAATCATAAAATTTAAAGCTTAAAAAATACTATATGGCGAGCATGACTGTGAACATTTGAAAATCTTAAAAATTAACGGTTTTAAAATGTGTTACAAGATACACTATTTTCAAAACTTGAAATCTATTTTTTCCTCATATTCATGCATCTTGATGTCGAGATGATCAATACGGGCATTAAGATAACCTCTTTTAGTAAAATTTTTAAGATCTGCTTTAATTTGATTGTTTAGAGCCTAGGATCTATAAACTCTTCCCTCGACCTTTTATTTCAACTCGGTCACAATTCTGAATTATGTTTAATATAAAAAGTCACAATCATTATTAAATTTAAAATCGGGTGGTTGATAATTTTTCTTTATTTGGGCACAATGTTTAAAATAATTTTTTTAAAATATTTTGTCATACTTTTATTTCTCATCTGTAAATTTTAGGTGGGCATTCAAATCTTCTCTTTCTTTAACTTACTCTCCTCCTCCAATGGAGCGGCAAAACCAAGGTATAAAGTATAAACCATGCTGAACTCTCTCTCTCTAAATTTTATTTTCCTAATTTTAGTACCTCTCTCTCTCGGTGAAGAAGAAGAGAATGCAGGCGACATGGTCGCAATCAGTGCAGTGCCTGGCATTTCCAGGACGTGCACCCATGGCTCATGTTGCCAACAACAAACCCCCACATCTTCGTTTCTCTCTCTTCAACCCCAACCGCTCTCCATCATCACCCCCACGTTTGCGCCTCTCCTCCCCCATCAGCGCCCTCGCTTCTCTCGATATCCCTGCCGGAAAAGGGTCTCTCTCTGGTTTTCCTGAATTTTAATCTCTGTAATTTGGTTAATCTCTGGATTTCCTGAATTTTAATCTCTGTAATTTGGTTCTTACTTTAAAAGATTCGAAATTTTGGATTTCTCTGGTTCTGTCTCATCTCATTTGGTATATGTGTAGTATGACTGGATTTCATGAAGTTGAGCTCAAAGTACGTGATTATGAGCTGGATCAGTATGGTGTAGTCAACAATGCTGTTTATGCAAGCTACTGTCAGCATGGTGACTCTCTCTCTCTCTCTCGAGCCACTATTGTGCTATTTATTTGATTTATGATGACCCTTAATATGGTAATTCAAAGCTGCATTTTAGTAGTTATTTTTAATATTTTGGATTACTTATCAAGTTAGGATTTGATATGACTTGTGCTTAGGTTGAGAACGTCAATTTATACATGACCACCAATTTTTTTTTTTCAATGTATAAATGACCACCAATTATTTCGAGAAAAAACCTAGAACTTTGCCATGTCGAAATTTCGAAGGAACTGGGTTAGCAGTATTAAACGGGGTTATTAGTATTACCTTTATTTGCCTCATATTTCATGGTTGTTGTATTCAAGGGGAAGGCTCTAAATGGACAAGGGGACGACCAAAAGGACATGGATAGAAGTACGTGAGAAAATATATAATGACGTTTAGTCTTATTGGATATATGGCGCTTGATAAAGAAGAATGGAGAAAAAAAATTTATGTAGCCGACCCCAAATAATTGGGATAAGGCTTAGAGGATGATAATGATAATGATGATGGTGAAATCATTGTTGTTGTATTTCATATGCCTACTGGATTTAATCAAAATTTGGTTGAAACAATTTAACTATTTTTTGCCTTGTTATATGTTTTAGAAGAAATCTATTGCAGCAGAAGCTGTACCGTCTATATATGTTTTGGAAGAAACCTAATTCAACACAAGCTATCAGTCTGGTCCCCAGTGGCTAGAGAAACAACTGATGGATGATTTGATTGCTGCAAAAATAGCCAAACGATTGTGTGCAACGTAGACTTCAAAATAGAATAATGTAATTTGAAGTTTGAAGACAACTATTATTTTGAGGGAAGATGCAGTAACATATTACGTGATGAAATCCATGAGAAAAAGCGGAAAGGACAATAATATTAATAAAAGAGGGAGACATATACTAACTTGCAAAGTTTTTGCAGCTCAAACTTTGATTCACCTCATCAGATTGCTCCTTTATAGCTTGTCCTCTGTTGTCTATACCCCAAGGACCTTTGTACTAAAGCGAAGCTTTCCTCCCTTTGGTATTTTACCAGGAGAAACTTCTTTAAGGTCTTAGGCTATTCTTGAATGAGAACCATGACTCTTTCCATGGAGAGAAGTTCCAACTCCTACTCCACTCAAATTCAAAACCAACTGCCTCTTTCCTCCTTCCTATTTGTTTCAGTGGATCCACCCTTTCAATGTCCCAACAACAATTGGAACAGTTCCTTGATTTTCTCTAGTGAGGCGTTGAGGGGGATAACCAACAACTATCCCAAACTATTCCAACTTCCATTTATCCCATCTTGATGTGCCTTAGTCTGCTGTTTGACTTGATACCTAAGTTGTTCCTTTGTCGCTTTAGTCCTGTATTCTTCTTCTGGGTTTCCCACATTCTTTCACCTTTTAGTGATCCCTGAAGATAGAAAAGATGAGCATAATGCCTCCGACCTTTTCATGACATGTTTAATTGTGAGGACCTTGCCCGTTTATTTCCCATGTCATCGTGCCTGTTAGCCTTTTTACTATCATCTGCCTCATGGAATTAAACATTGTTATTGCTCCATCTACTGTGTATTAGACATACTTGAGATAGCTCTGCTTTCTCAGGAAAGTTATCCTCATACCTTTGAAGCATCAGATAGGCCAATAGAGCTCATTCCCTCTCCCACCTGGACATAACTGAGAACTTTGATCCAAATCTTCCAAACAGATGGATTTTTACTAGTCGTGCCTGCAAGAGACACTCTATTACATAGGTTCATGCAAATTCCATCTCAGGACATAGTGAACCCGCAAAGCCTTGTTCCCTTTCGCCAATGGAATGATTCCATTTTCCCTGATGGTTCTATGATCCCAATCTTTCCAAAGCTTCCTCTCCAATGTTAAAGATTGTTTTGTTTTGGATTGTTCAAATGTAGGATTCAAACTTGGGAGATAGTGTTGCAATTGTCAATGTCTTAACCAATCCCCAATATTAAGTATTTGATTTTCACTATCTTATTTGCTTCCTTTTGATGTGCTTACTAGCTCAACTCAGGAAGGAGACAATTTCTAGTTTATTCTTTAGCAAGAACATGAGAATACAAAAAGATAGGGGAGATGATCATCTCTGGAAATGATATCAGCTGCCACATACACGTAATAACATGTCAGGTGGATGCACTGAAGCTGATGGGCGTTAATCAACTGCTAAATTAGTTTGGCCTAAAAGAATGCAGAATTCGGAGGATGATGATAGCTCACAAGTCGCAATTTATTTTCTTCTTATATCTAAGAGCAAGGTGTAGCTCATGGCCTCAACGTTCATCCTTTGTGGAACTGGGTGTGGTGAGAACACAATCTTCTCACTCTTCAAATTGTCTGAATTATCTGGAACTGGCCCTTTTGGTTTGGTGGGAGTATACGTAACTTTCCTGTTGAAAGTCTTCACTTCTTTGTAGAGTATTGTGCTTCGGTATATTACCTATCCTTGCAAGTTGTTAGGATGAATTATTTCATAAGTATCATAAAATACTTATAGCGAGGGACACAAATTTTGCAATGGCCCCACTCAACCATGGTTGCATAGAAGCAAACTATAGTGAAGGGAGGCATGGCGTAGCAAATAAGGTGAGAGGCTAATGACCATGCAAATAGACAGTTTTTTGGATTTCTGGAGGGAGGATGGGCCTTGAAATCCATTGGCATCAGTTGATAATTGATTGTTGTCTATACAATATCCTCTTGTTTTTGTTGAATGGCGCTTCTAATAGTTGTTTGATTTTATAAGAATCTAGATCTTAGTCAAGGACCCTTGTCACACTTTCTGTTTATGATTTTTGCAAAGGCTTTCAGCCATCTCATTGACATGGTGGTGAGTGTAGGGCTCACTGAAGGAACAATGTTTAGAACAATGTCTAAAAACTCAATCTTGGTGGCCAATTCGATCCCTGGCAAGTTTTCTAACTCGAATAGTCTCAGAAAATCTTGGCAAGTTTTCTAACTTTTTTTGTGAATACTTTAAGATGCACCTGCTTCGCAGGTCTCATTAAAATGTTGTGTATGATGTGATATGAAATGAGAAAATATGAATTTGTCTCTCTATTTATGCTTTAGAATTGAATATTAGAAATTTATCTAGCAAAATGGGCAAATTATTTATGCGATATTTTAAAATAACTCATAAAAAATTTATATACATAAGGATTTGTATAATTAAGTGTCATACTTCTAACGTAGCATGAATCATGTATACTCCCTGCCTTTATAATATCATTGGAAAAATCGCTCGCAAAAAGAAAATAAGGAAAGGAAATTATAGTTATAAGTAATAAATTTGCAATGCAAAAAGTATGCTTAACTTATAATTATAATATAAGTAATATTAGAATAATTATCCTATGAATATTATCTATAAATTATAATTTTAAAAATATTAATTAAAATTATAACTATTAACCAAAATTTATTAACTAAAACTAAAACTATTAACTTAAAGTTATTATCCAATAATTATTGATTAAAATATTTAGTTAAATTAAATAAACTATGATTCTTGACTAAAAATTACAATATACAAAATTATATGTGGGATATATCATAAAATAGAAAGATGGAGACATAAAGACTAAAGAGGTAGAGAAAGAGTATATGTAGCATGCAATTAAGGATCATGCTAAGGTAGAGAGAGATAATAAAGAGTCACGTATAAGAGAGAGAGATGTTTAAAGCAGGAGATTAGCAATAAAGTAGAAGTTACATGGATATGCATTAATTGACCTAACATTAATTAGGTTAAAGATCCACATGTTCTCGATTTTTTTCCTCTAATTTGAGAGAGAGAGAGAGAGGGAGAAAAAATATTTTGTATGGATTACTAGGAGATGAGTCATCTTAAAATAGGAGATCAGAGGGGTCCCCTGGTCAATATATAATAGATAGCGTGTTTGTTGTGGGAATCAGACCTAGCTCTTCACCTCGATCCCACCACAATGCTACCATCTTGGCAAAGACTATGCATTTGTCAAATTAATACAAAAAATTATATATAAAGAATGTCTAGAACACATCATGACTTTTTCTATTTACAAAACTCGATCTTGGAATCAGTCTAGTTGACTCTGATAAGTGTTTCCAACTTAAAAATGAGTTTGGTTTAGAAGAATTGGGGTAAGTTTGGAAGCTTCGGTGACTTGTAAGTCCATTTTTATTCCTTGGTTCATCCATGACACATACATTTTGGTCTGTCCTGCATGGTCCATGTATTTTCTGCATGCATTTATTTGCATATGGAAATGAAATTCTTTTGTAGTTTTCATCCTCCTTTTGTTGCCTAGTAGATTTTAGAATCAGTATTTTCATGCTTATCCCAGTGGAGTTCTTTTAGAACTAGAAGTTAATTTATTCATTTGTCTCTTTAATTGAGATAGCCCAAAGTTACCAGACAAAAACTTTTTATTTAGTTTTGATTGGTAAGTAGATATTCAAATCCTCATCTGGACAGATATGCACTAGAGCACCTGACTTTACTAAAGGGCCAGAAGTCCTTATCTTTCATGAAAAGTTTTAAACAATACTACATTTAGTTGTAGAAATGACATGATTACTTCTTCTTCTTTTTTCCTTATGTCATTGATTTTCTGTCAGTGCTTTAAATATAGTTTCTCCCCCTTGCCACTTGAAATCAACCAGGTCGACATGAACTGTTTGAGAAGATGGGCATGAGGGCAGATGCGGTTGCTCGCACTGGAGAAGCACTTGCACTCTCAGAGCTGTCTCTCAAGTTCCTTGGACCATTAAGAGTTAGTATTATATTTCTTTAAATGACCCTATAGATCTTAATTATGCCCTTTTTTCTTCAATTTCCATGGTTGGTTTTGTCAAGGGGACTGCCTAGTGCTATACATACTGGGACATTGCAGAAATAGCTTTGGTTTGGTAAAAGAAAATTGCAAATATGCACCAACTTCTGCAAAATCAATTAAAGAACTGACTTTCACAAAATTACTCAACTATATCAAACATGGATAAATTATGTGTGATTTTCGGAAGTGGATTCTTCTAACCCCCATTTTAGCTGATATCGGTTTCTTTGCGCTTTATCCAGAATAGGTCCCAAAGTAGTCCAAGTTTCTAAATTTTAAGCCATTCTCCATATTGTAATTAAAAAGCACAAGAGATTTTGGTGACATTCGCTACGAAGTTTGAACTTTGATTTGGTTGAGACTGCTTCTACATTTTAGCTTAATGACTCTCTCTCTCTCTCTCTCTCTCTCTCTGTATCTGTGTGTGTCTGAGAGATCATTAGTTTTTGATAAGATGCAAATCATAATCTCAAATCATTTTTTATTCTCTTTATTTTGAGGAAAAAAGATGTCAAGTTTTGAACTAAGAAAAATGAGCTGTCATTTGAGTGGCCTGTATCCTGTTAGCTCTCGTTTTTTCTCTAGACTGATACTATTTCCATAATTTTTTTCAATACCGGAGAGTTTTGCAATTTTTTACTTGGCCAGAGTGGTGACAAGTTCATCATGAAAGTGAGAATTTCAGGCTTCTCAGCTGCCCGCTTTTTCTTCGAACACCACATCTACAAGCTACCAAACCATGAGGTGATTCCTTTTTTAACTCTCCCATCGTCTCTGAATCACTAAATATGCAGATTCTCTATGTAGCAAAACGATAGTATGTTAACGACATGGTTATAATGATTATTGCTTCTGTCCAATCTATAGGTTGAATAATGTAGTGAGAATAAGACTCACAATTGAATGGAGGACATGTTTTGCAGGTCTCACTTCCCGTCCATCACAGTCCGGCCTCTTGATTGGACCGTGCTTAACCTTGATGACCATTCTACTGTTGTGACAATTTTGATCATGCTATACTCTCCCATCGAAACACACTCACACTCACACTCACATTCACACTCACATGCACACACACACAGTGTAGAAGGACTTAGAGAGTCCACTCAGATTAGCCCGAGTTACTCGGCTTTGCTGAACTGTGGTGAGTTCTAGGACAACTAGCAAAACATAAAAAACATATCAAAGAAATATAAGAAAAAAAAGGTTTAAAAATACAAAAAATGGAAAACATAAATATATTAGTTAGAAATATGTTTTTAGATGATTTTGATACTTCTTGAGATTTTTTTGGGTAAGTAATAGTTCTTAAGATGATTTGAGAACTTTCATATTTTTTCCTTTTTTAATTTTTCTGAAATATATAAGGAATAAAATCAATTGTTTCAATAATCCATCTTTTGTAGATTTTTTTCATCCTCTTTATAGCCTTCTAATGATTTCAACTACCTTTTTTGAACTTTTTCTGATTTTTAACTTTTTTGCAATTTCTTTTACTTCTCTTTTTGATTTATTTTACTTTTTTTAAGTGTAGAGCTTGATTTTTTATTCCACTTGGACTCGGCCGAGTTACTCGCCTCCTCCAAGGACCGTGTACCTTGACCGAGGCGAGCATTAAAACATTGCTCTCTAAACACAATTTTCCTCTGCTTACGCTCTTTGAATAATTTCTGATCTCTCTCTCTACACAATTTCCCTCTACTTAATACTCTTGGAATCATTGCTGAATTCTCTCTCTTATCTATTGGGAAACCATTCAGCCGATATTGGAAGCCAAGGCCACAGGCGCGTGGCTTGACAAAAGTTATCGCCCTATCCGCATTCCATCATCTTTTAGATCCAAGTTTGTGCAGTTTGTGCGTGAAGAAGAATACGATTGATTTCAATCTTGCAGGTTCTTTGGCTCCACTAAATTATGGCTTGAAACTGTCAAAGGTTTCTTCTTCTATTTTCCTGTATTTGTTAACAACAATAATTAGTATTGAGCTTGAAGATCGTCTGGCTCCCCCAGTATATAAACTCAATTTTATGCAACAGTTGTTTAGTAATATAATGGAACAACTTTCAAAATTCATGTTAAGGTCATTTGTTTGATCTAAATTTTACAATATACACCCTTTTCATTCTAATGAACAATCACATTCTAGTGAACAATCACAAAAAAGGAAGTTTTGAAAATGTAATCTAGAAAGTATTTTTTTAGTCCAATTAATATAGGTTGTCCATTTTGGTGAGATGTTTAGATCTAAGCTTGATATGTTTTTTTTTCAAAAATTTTAAATAATTTTATTATCATTAGATTAAAAATATTAAAAAAAAATTGATTTTGAATTTATAAAGGCTTAGATTTTGAAATTCATCAGATGGACGGTCTAAATTCATTGTTGGAGGGGACTCAATTTGACCATATATAGGCTGTAAATTATTATTATTATTATTTTAGGCTGATTATTGAGATGAGAGTGCAAAATTTTGAGTCACACAAATACCACAAATGTGATTTTCTTAGAAGTGTGGTTGCATAATATTAGGATATAAACAGTGCTTGAAATCATTGCGCATGTATATATATATATATATATATATATATATATATATATGTACACGAATAATAGTAATAGAGAGTAGAAGAATAAACTAAAATAAGTACTTACGTAGTAAAAGTAAAAAAAAAGTTAAAAAGTAAAGG